CACCACCACCCCCCCCGCTGCCACCGCCACCACTCTATCCACCCTTGCCCTTGTTGCTGCAGCGCTTCCCACTAAGAGCGGAAGCAGGCCCAACATCCTCAGCACCGAGGATGTCAACAGCAGCAGCAGAAGCGTAGGAGGGGGCAAGGGGGGAGGGGGAGCACCCCTCAAAGAAGGGTGTGCGAGCAGTGCCACGAGCAGCACCTACAGCGACTACGCTAGTCTCAACTGCAAGGAGGTGCTTCTCGAGCAGGTCGACAGTGAGGTCGGTGGGGTCAAGAGCGAGAAAGTGGTCCTTGACTCCGCGAAGAGAGTCAGGGAGGCGGGTGACTATGAAGTAGAAAGTGATGTACATCGGGGGGGGGGGGGGGGGGGGGGGGGGGGGTTCCTGTCTAGGAACTCGGCTGGGAGGGCAGAGCGGTAGCGAGCGCCGCTAGTGCGAAGGTGGATAACGAGGTCCTCGAGTGTGGCAAAGGCTGACAGCTCGGGAAACACGTAGGGCAATATATGGCGGCCGAGAGCAGCAGTGGCAGGGGAAGAGTAACGAGCGACTACAGCGGCGTACAGGGCTTTAGCGGTCTTGTGCTGGCCAAAGTGAACGCGTTCGGCTAACGGCAGGTGATTGCAAACGGCTAAGCGAGCAGCAGCGTCACGAGTAAGCCACTGTGAGCGAGTCGCACTGTCAGCTGTGGCGGGAGGGGCGAGAGAGGCTCCAGACGTGGGTCAAACAACGAAACGCTGTCTCTAGAATCGCTTAGTAGGTACAGCTGTAAGTTGTCGAGCCACGTATCGAACTGGATCGGACAGCCCTCATGATCGAACGCGAGTACACTAAGAGAAGCCATAGCGGGCAGAGCAGGGTGGCGCGTGACCAGCAGAGCAGCACGCAGGTAGGGCGGCGCGCGAGCACGAGGGAAGAGCGCAGGGCAGGGCAGGGTGGTGCACGGCTAGGGCAGCCAGCAGAAAGGGCGGCGAGTGGGCTGCCAGAGGGCGGCGCGCGGTCTGCAAGGGGCAGCGAGCGGGCTGCCAGAGGGCGGCAAGCGGGCAGCCAGAGGGCGGCGCGCGGGCTGCAAGGGGCGGCGAGCGGGCCGCAAGGTGCGGCGAGCGGGCTGCAAGGGGCGGCGCGCAGGTTGCAAGGGGCGGCGAGCAGGCTACCAGAGGGCGGTGCGCGGGCTGCAAGGGGCGGCGAGCGGGCCGCAAGGGGCAGCGAGCGGGCTGCAAGGGGCGGCGCGTAGGCTGCAAGGGGCGGCGAGCGGGCTGCAAGGGGCGGCGAGAGGGCTGCAGGGGCGGCGAGCGGGCCGCAAGCGGGCGGCGAGCGGGCTGCAGGGGCGGCGAGCGGCGAGCAGGCTGCAGGGGCGGCGAGCGGGCCGCAAGCGAGCGGCGAGCAGGCTGTAGGGGCGGCGAGCGGGCCGCAGGCGAGCGGCGAGTGGGCTGCAGGGGCGGCGAGCGGGCTGCAGGGGCGGTGCACTGGCTGCTGGGGCGGCTAGCGTGCTGCAGGGGCGGCTCGCGTGCTGCTAAAGGTGGCGCGCAAGCTGCAAGGGGCGGCGCGACGGGCTAGCAAAGGGCGGCGCGCGGGCCAGCAGGGCGGCGCGTCAGGTAAGGCAGGGCGGGAGGGCAGCTAGTGGGGCAGCACTGTGATGGGCCCAAAAAAAAATCGGTCCTAAGGAAGGACCTGCTCTGGTACCATGTTGAAACAACTGAACGAGAATGATTGGATTGAACAGAAAGTTGGGTACAAGTACTAACCCTAATTGGGTTGTACCCCTTATGGGCTACCCCACTATAGCCTACACAATGTAAACACTATATAAGTTTGACACTTATGGGGTACAGCACTTCTAGGGTTAATACTTATACCCCAACTCATGCTAATCCAACCATTCCTGCACAGTTTTTCTGACAATGTCACCATCGAGCTATATCAGCTTGTTCACAGAAGCTATAGCGCGAATATTGCTAAGCCCACCAGCTCTCACACGTTCTTCAAATTCTGGGTTTTCACGCCTCGCCCTCGATACATGTGACAATGTAATATGGTTCGAAGCGCACGTGGTTCGTAATCGTCACATTCCCCTCCCCAAATTCTCAATGCCTTAGAACTGAAATTTCCTCCATCTCCCTCCACATCGAGCCCAGCTCCGCCAACCAAGCAAATCCGGTCAACCACACAGACCCTCTTGCCTAGCAAGCCACACACAAATCCTGCGTGCCCCCCTGGCATGTGCCCCCGGTTACCCCTTATTTCCTAGCATAACTTCGAAGCCACCCTTCCCATGATCCCACCCGCCCAGCGCACTCTCTCATCACACTCCCAGGATTCCAACATGCCTCAGCCCACGATGCGCGCGCGACTCGAAGTTGATCGTGAGTGGCACACGCTTTCTCCACAAGCCATGAGCCTCCTCACCATCGTCTACACTACACAGATGGCGTGCGCTGTCCTTTCAGTAGTAGGTTGTTTCTACCAGCGCAATACCGACGGATGGTGCATCAGCCTCCGCTGGAGCCATCCCCTCGTTCGAATACATCCACAAATACCGCCTCTTGCGCCTCGTGATTCGTGAACATTTAACTACGGAGAGTAGTGGTAGTCGATCCAAGACAGTGCGATCCCATGCTTGCCAAGTGATTGTGTTATAGTAGAATAACAGCGCGATGGCGAGGAGTTTGTTTCTTCGCGGCGTGACCTTCGGTGTCCTCCTAGTTCTAGCCCTCCTTGAGATTGCCGCGCACGAGAAAACAGTGACGGCAGCACACCGCGCTGGCAGCGCCGATGGCAACAAGCGAGCCCCGCCCCCCGATCTATTGCTCGCGTTTGAATTGCTAGCCACCTGCAAATCTAAAGGTAGGATACCTACCTCGGTAATTTTAGTCTTGAGCAATGTAGCCTCCGTCTTATGAGGCAGGTATCTCTCTCACTGCGCAACTGGAAGGGTATCAGACTTCTCCGCATGGCTTGATGCGGCATTTGCTCAACCAGCGAAGGCTTATTCATTGCTTCTCATGTTTTGCTTGTAGGTGCGATCAATGTCACAGTTTCGCCAGAGTTCGTCGGGACCACGTGGCGAGGGTGGGGAACTTCTCTCGCGTGGTTCGCAAATTACGTCGGCGGCTTGACGCAGCAGCAGCTGACCGCACTTCTCGACCTTATTTTTGAACCCATAAACGGTCTTGGACTGAACATCATACGTTACAATATCGGAGGGGGACACAACGACGAACGGAGCCCGCAGTTTCATCAAAACTCGGAGGTGGTTTGGCGGGGGATTCCGGGTTACAAGCCGACAAAGGACGGGCCGTACGATTGGAGCGCGGACGAACGGCAGCGGAACGTGCTGCAGGGAGCGAAGGAGAGAGGAGCGAATGTTTTCGAGGCGTTTTCTAACAGCCCGCCCTGGTGGATGACCGTAACGGGTGACGTGGCAGGTGCTGTTTGGAAAGGGGCGACGAATTTGCTGCCGAAGTACGAGAAGGCTTTCGCAGACTACTTGACGTCAGTCGTGGCTGAGTTCGCGAATAGGTGGAAATTAGATTTGATGCGTTGGAGCTGATTAATGAGGCGCCAGAGGGATTTTGGAAGGCCAGGAAAGAACACGAGGGGTGTACATTCAACCCTCCCGAGATGGGACGAGTCATCAAGTACACCTCGGACTCGTTAAAAGCAAAGGCGCTGAAAACGAAGTTGGTGGGGGTGGATAGCTGGGGTGAATATCATGGAGGCTTCAGCATACATGATCTGGAAGGCGTACGATTTCGTGGCACATTGGACATGCATCGACTTTCCGCCGAATTATCCGCTGAATTACACTGGGGAAATGGAGACACCTAAAGCGAACAAGAGGTTTTGGATTTTCAAGCATTTCACCATGCTTGCCGAACCTGGATCCAAGCCGCTCAAGATAAGTTCGGATTGTTCGCACGGCATGAGCGCGTTTTACAGCCTGGGCGAAAAAAGGGTTACGGCTTTTGTCGTGAATCAGAAGGCGGATGACCGACACGTGACGATTAATCTAGACGGGTTCACGATGAACGTGGGGGGGACTACCAAGGTCATTGTAAGGCAGACGACTTGGTCTACAGATTTCACCATCAAGGTGTACAGAAAGCAAGTCGCGAGGCTGATTGTATGGGGGAAGAGCTTTGCTTCTCTCACCTTCACTAACGTGTCATATTAAGAGGCTAGACTCAGGTGTCATACTACCAGGAGGTCGGTACCTTGTCCTGTATGGGGACAGAGCTTATTTTGTGTCACCTTCAGAATAATTTTCACAACCTACTAAGAGGCTACCGTATCTAAAGATGTCCTTGTTCTGGAGCAGTCCACTGTTTATGTCTACTATGTTGGGCTGAGAAAAGCCCTTAGGATCGTTTTCAAGACTAAAGTCTCAGAGTAGTGATGTATTAGTGAAAGCGTAACAGTGAACTGATTGAACCACCTTGCACTGGTATGTGAGAACAAGATAAGTTGATAATAGCAAAGAGATACAAAGCTTTATATGATTACAAAGGAATATGAAAGGTTTTACTAACTGTAACTGTTGTTGCGGTTCGATACAGCGACGACTCGAGTAACTGCTCAATAGTGAGTCAGTTATGTGTCCTTGCTGTCGTGCTGCTTTTCGGCGAGTCAAAGGTCGCTGACCTTTGACCTTCACTCAACCTCTTGCTGTTGTCTTTCTGTCAACCGCTTTGGTTGACTCGCTGTTGCTTTGCTTCAGCTCGCTTCGCTTTTCTTGTAGTGCTCGACAGGGCCTATGATTCACTTTTAGGCACGTTAATGCATCAGGGTCCCTCAGTGTAGAATCCCTGATCGACAGTGTCTAAAAAAAAAAAAAAACCCCTGAAAGTTCAATGTTACCTTAAAAAAAAAAAGTCTGATGCATCAGTGTTCCCTTTTTGCAAAGGCTGATTTGATATTAAAGGTCTTTAAATAAGATAACACAGGCTACTAACAAGAAAGCAAGCAAGCTAGCTAGCATCAGCAGCAACAGAGGGTTCATTTAATCATCATCATCACTACAGTTAGCCTCTGGTTCTTCCAACTCCTCCTCTGCCTCCTCATCTGCCTCCGTTCCCTTGCCATTGCCACTGCCCTCCCCCTCTCTTGCTGGAGCTGCTGCCACATTGCCAAATGGGCGGCGCTTCTTGTAGCTGCACCAGATCTCCAACACCTCATCATAGTCAGGCTCGTACTCGAGGAGAGACATCGTGAGCAGGTCTTCAAGGCGGGCGTCTTTGAGGCTCCCCTGCTGCCACGATTTGATAACATTCTGGCGTGAGAAGCTGCGCTCACACTCCACTGTGCTCAGCGGCAGCACGGCGACAGCCACCCAGAGACGCACCAGGTTGGGGGAGCTCGTTTTCCAGTCGCTTGTCTTCAGTATTGCTGTTAGCCCGGCGTGGAAGTTGCGCTCGTTCTTCGGGGCACCTGCAAGGATGGGGCAGAAGGTGTGCAGTTCTTTGATCGCCCGCCGCTTGTCGATCCCTGCCAGAAAAGACAGAAGGGAGATAGAGAGGGGACTAGATAGCCTGGCATACCTGTTCACAATACAACTTTAACATGCAAACAAGCACCTCATGGACAGCATCAATGTATGCAATGGGAATACCTGGAATGATGTAGTCCGTCTCCTGTGCCCTGAACAGTGTCACGAGTGACATGAGCCACTCGAGACACTGCTTGTGGTGCTCCGCTCTCCCAAGCTCCCACTTGTCTGGCATGAAGAGCCTCACTCCCACCAAGGAGTCCAAGTCCTTGAACCGCTTGCTGAGGTTTCACACAAGCGTCTTGGCGAACGTGGTGCAGAGATCGACGTAGGCGTCGTGAGTGCCGAGGGTTGGGTAATCTTTGCTTGAGTTCTCGTGCAGCTGGAAGGTGTGTGTAGTCGGCCGACCGTCCAAGTCCACTCCCTGCACCTTCACCTCGGGGCGGCCCCCCTCAGGCCCGTGCTTCTTGATGAACAGGGAGAGGCGCGCGCTCATCCCGCCTCCGAAGTCGTCACCACAGTCGACATAGCGGGACTCGAGGAACGACAAGGATCTCTTGATCTGCGCATGGACACCTGCAATGTCAAGCTATTAGAGGCCAATAGGCAAAAGACAGAGGGTGAAAGGAAGGCAAAATCAGTGCAATGCAGCAGATGTTGAGCTCTACATTAAACCATTAACAAACACAAACAGAAGCGAAGCACACAATACAAGGACATCTTGGGAGGTGCAGCAGACGTTGTACAAAGAGATGCTAGTAACCCTGCTCACCTCTCGCTGCTGGAATGCCCTGTTCAACACGTTGAGCTGCTCGAGCACGTCTGCAAGGAAGTACAACAGGAAGTGAAATCTGTAGCTGGTGGCGAGCTCGTACAGTGTACTGTCCCACTCATACAGCATAACGATGAGCGCGGGGAAGACCTCTACCGCGCGCAGAATGGCGTCACCCCTGGAGAGCCACCGGACTTGGTGAATCCCTTGGAGCTCCAGGTTCGGGGCTGTGAACACTTCCTGAAGCGTCATGAACCGTTGGCGCCAAGAGCCAGAACGCCCCAGATGCTCAGCCACCTGGCGGAGCAGCGAGTCCACCATCTCGAACTCGGGGAGTGCTTCAGCTGCATCCTTTGCTGCGAGCGCTTCCCTGAGTTCACAACAAAACACAAACCGCAGCAAAACAGTGCATGAGCACAAGCTGCTACAGGTACACCAGAGAAGCGTAGACACAACCGTTGCAGACATGCGAAAACACAACCGCAAACACAAGCACAAACACAATCGCAAAAACAACCGCAAACAAAGGAGCAAACACAACGTACCTGTGGGCGATGTTGTGGTTTGAGACAAGATGCGGGATGCGGAGGCAAAGTCGAGCGACAACACTGTTGTTTTTGCCCATCATCACACTCGCTCCGTCAGTGCTCATGCCGGAAATCCTCGCAAGATCAATGCTGAGGGCCTGCAGGTGGGACAGGAACACTGAGAGGAGAGAGGCGGCATCGCCCTTCTCCACAGTCAGCAGCGCAAGGAACTCAGTGACGACACGGTTCTCATGGATGAACGTTGCAAAAATAATCACGTGCTTTCCCCGACATCTGTCCGTGCTCTCGTCACATGTGACGCCGAGAAATGGGCTTGAAAGGATGTGCTGCAGTTGCGTTGTGTGCAACCACGTGGCCATCGACTATGTTAGTTGCAGCACATGTCAAACAAGACAATGATTCAAAATAAGTTGCGAAACACAACCACGACTTAAGTGCTTGGAAAAGGTTACTCACGTCATGTAATAGGTTCCATAGCCTTTCGCGGGGAGACCAGGAACCTTAAGAGATGCGAGGGAGCGAACAAGATTCACCCATAACTCTATGGGTGCATCTTGCTTGGTGACAAAGATGAGGGAGTCTAGCAGCTTGATGACACGTTCCTTCTCAGTGTCGCGAGCAAGATTGTCGCCGTTGATCCGTGGCTGCCTGGAAGCTTCCGAGAGAAGTTTTTCCTGGTGTTTGAACCCCTCCTTGTGCTTGGTTGTTGCAGCATGCCTTTTGAACGCCTGCGTCTGAACGTATGTGGCACCCTTTCCACCTTTCCTGCACGGTCCAGCGTAGCCTGCGTGCTCCGTACAGATGCTGCACTTGAAAGCAGGGAGAGTGTCAGCAGATTTTAGCAAAATGAGCCAAGATAACCTATCTAGCCATTCGCCTTTGTACTTATACAGAGCCTCCGCGTAAATCGCATCAGGGCCTGCCGGTTTAGAAGGCCTTGGAACTGATGGCGACACCTGCGTGCTTGCAGTCGCGGGCGTCGACCATTGGTCGGCTGGTGAAGGCGGAGTAGCTCCAGCGTTACCACCCATCTTGCACCATGGTAGCGTTGACTGGGTGTATCTGGCGTTCTTCTTAGCCACTGGAACCGCCGCAGTTTCTTCAACAGAAGGCGAAGAGCTGTCTTGCTCTAATACAGGCGCTGTAGGTGATGCACATAACCCCTCATCTATGGGTTCGAAAGGAAAAAAGTCGGGCGGCGCGGCTGCAGGTGCCTTTTCATGGTTTTCGACTTCCGCGAAGCTGGAGAAAAGCAGATCCAGGCCGGTAACAGCGGCGGAAACATCTACTGGCGAACGACGATGCGCATCATTGCCTTGGTCGCCAGAGCTGTCTTGCTCGTCCTGGGGGTCCGCCATAGCTTGCAGCGCTACTAAACAACATCTAACGAAAGGTACGTTCTAGCCAAGCTAGAAAGAGGATAGCCAGGGAAACCACACGGCTGGCTGCCTCTTGGTACACCAGTCACGAACTTGATGAAACCCCAAGCGGATGGAAGGAAAGCATGGAGCAGAAGATGGGAGCCTGGATGGCAGGTAGCACGGCTAAGCGGCGTGGATGCATCAGTGCTTGCCAGCACGACCTAGACAAAACGGGCCACAGGACCACAGGTGCAAGCAATGGGCCAGATACCCTCGCATCACTGTCTGCCACCATCGCTCCGTTGCAACCTTGTCATTGATCAACCCACATAATGCTGCAAAAGTGGCTAATGATCGCCCCAAGGGCGCCAACAAAGCAACCCTCTAAGTGAAAAACACGGGGCAAAATTGTCTGATAGTCACCGCCAGGCGGTGGTGACACCGCGGGAATCTGAGATTCCTTGTACTTCCGGGCAACTACACTCGGAACGTGAAGGAATCGCATTCAGTGTCAGTTTCGTTACAACGTAGTGCAATCAGTGTCCCTTAAAAAAAAAACCTGAAATTTCAGAGTCATATGGACCCTAAAGGCTGGAAAATCAGTCCCCCAAAAAGCTGAACACTGGAAAATCAGGGTAGGTATAAAAAAATCCATGTAAATAAGGAACTTCAGGGAAAATTTCCTAATATCGTAGGGCTTGGTGCTCGACACATCAGAAGCGCGAATTATATGTTTCTTGAGTGTCGTTGCCTTCGTTGCTGATGACGTGGCTTTTTCCAGTCGGCAGCATGCAGTACTCGAACTTCTGCTTTCCGAGTTTCTTTGTCAAGTAATCTGCTGCCATCTTAGACGTGGGGCAGTAGGATAGCTCGAGTCTCCCTTTCTCGATCTCGTCCTTCACGAAGAAATAGCGCAGGGCAATGTGCTTCGTTCAGTTCGCGAACCCGCTCTTGTTCGCTATGCGAATTGCAGATTGGTTGTCGCAGAAGAGGGAGAAGTTGTGTAACTGGGCCAGCTTTGCTTCTTACACTAGTTTGCGAAGGTACAGTCCTTCCTTGGTGGCTGAGCAGAGTGCTATGCATTCAGCTTCAGCAGAAGAGAGAGCAATTAGTTCTTGCTTGCTCGACTGCCACGAGATAGGACCGACGGGCTCGAGTCGATAGATGTAGCCGGTGCGTGATCGCCTGTTATCAGAATCGCCTGCGTGGTCAGCATCCACGTAGCCGATTAGCTTTGGAGTAGTGGTTCTGGTCTTGTGGTAGGTTAGGCCGATCGTTGGCGTGCTGACGAGGTAGTGTAAGGCGCGGTCGAGTTCGGCCATGTGCTCTGCTTCAAGCCGCTTGAGGTGGCTAGCAAGCTGACTCGCTGAGTATGAGAGATCTAGTCGGCAGGTGACGGCTGCGAAGAGCAGACAGCCCAGTTTTCGTTGGTAGTCACGTAGGCCAGCAGGTCCAAGCTGTCATAATGTTATGTTGCTTACTTGTGTAGACTATAATGGGGTAGCCCATAAGGGGTACAACCCAATGAGGGTTAGTACTTGTACCCAACTGTTTCATAGTTCATTCATTTCTCGTTCGTGATTCTGACATGGTTTCAGAGCAGGTCCTTCGTTAGGACCGTTTTCTTGGGCCCACCACAGCAGGCGCCCCGTCGACCCTAGGCCCCGGCGCCCCGTCGACCCTAGGCCCCGGACCCGCCCCGTCGACCCAGGTATGGAGGCTATGTATGCTTTGTCTGTTAGTGCTGAGGGTGACTGTTACCTGTGTGTGCCGCCTGACCCAGGTATAGAGGCTGCTGCTCTAGGTGCTAGTGAGTCTGTTCTCCCTGGTACTGCGCCTGCTGAGGCCTTGCACACCTTCACACTTGACTAAGGTGCCTCACGCTGTTTCTTTCGCGACAGCACCACCCTCACTCGTCTCTCTGCACCTGTACCGGACAGGCTGGCTGACCCCTCAGGGGGCCCAGTCCTTGCCCGTTCCTCCACTGTGCTCCCGTGTCCGGCGGTTCCGTCCGGCTCACTGTCAAGTCTTCACCTCCCCTCGTTCTCTACGAACTTGGTGAGTACCGCTGCCCTCCAGGACGCGATGGTCACTACCACCACTCCTGCGGGTCAGCGTGTGTCAATCTGTACGTGTACATGGACGGGCCATCACCTAGCCACGTTCACTCGTAGGCCAGGGTCGAGTCAGTACACACTGGCTACCGAGCCTCCTCGGGTAGCTGCGTCTGCCCAGGTGTCCGCGTCAGGTCAGGTAGCACCCCCTTGCACGTGTCGCCTCCTGTCGCACCAGACTCTCCTGTGGCACCACCGCCTGGGTCACCCCTCCCTGCCACACCTTCGTGGCATGCACTCCCGCCTCCTTATCTCTAGTCTTCCTAAGTCTCTGCCTCCCCTCCCGCCCTCGCCTGCCCCGCCCTGCCTTCCTTGTGTCGAGGGGCGGCAGCGCGCCGCTCCTCACTCCTCCTCGTTTCCCCCGGCGACTGCTCCCCTGCAGACTCTCCACATGGACGTGTGGAGCCCAGCCCGCGTCAGTGGACAGGGCCACGAGCGCTACTTTCTGCTGGTTGTTGAGGACTACACGCGGTACACCACAGTCTCCCCCTTGCGCAGCAAGGGTCAGGTCGTTGATGTCTTGATCCCTTGGATCCGCGCAGTCCGTCTCCAGCTCCGCGAGCGGTTCCGTGCGGACCTTCCTGTCCTGCGTCTGCACTCTGACAAAGGTGGTGAGTTCTCCTCCGACCTCTTACGGGATTTTTGTCGTGGGGAGGGCATTCTCCAGTCGTTCACGCTTCCGGACTCCCCTCAGCAAAATGGGATTGCTGAGCGCCGTATCGCTCGTACCTCCATGATCCATGCGGCTGCTCCTCATTTTCTGTGGCCGTTTGCGGTCCGGTACGCTGCGCATCAGCTCAACCTCTGGCCCCGTGTCTCCTTGCCGGAGACCTCGCCTACACTGCGTTGGACGGGGAAGGTTGGCGATGCGTCGGTGTTCCGGGTCTGGGGCTCTCGTGCCTTTGTTCGCGATACGTCCGCGGACAAGCTCTCCGCCTGCGCGATTCCCTGCGTCTTCCTTGGCTTTTCCCCTTACGCGCCTAGTTGGCAGTTTTACCACCCCACCTTGCGCCGTGTCTTCCCCTCTCACGACGTCATGTTTGACGAGTCGGTTCTCTTTTACCGTATCTTCCCCTACCGCTCTGCCCCTCCCCCACCCCCGCCGCTCTTCCTTACTCCAGGTCCCCCTCCGATAGACCCCCTCCCCCCCCAGGGTCCTGCTCCCTCCGGTGTGTCTTAAGTAGACCCTCTCCCGGGTACTGTGCCTGTTGAGGTAGTTGTCGGCTCAG